TTTTGGGAGTCTTAAAATTGAACCATTTTCCATTATATTAGCAGCCAATTTCTGTGTTTATTAAGTGCATTACTACAGAACTTAAAAAATAATGCCTTCCATCAGGAAACTTAATGAGCAATCATGTTATGAGACCTAAAACAGATCCTAGTTGAACCCCTTTTACATTTTTTTCTTCAATTGGCTTTCCAGAGAGCTGTGCAGTGCCTCTACAAGCTCAAAGAACTGAGTGCCGAGAGATCCCTTCAACTCTGTATCCATAATGAAAAGGACTGACAATTGAGTTAATATGAATTTGTCACTATAATAAGGGCCCGAGCGCTCCACTTGAAAATCAGTCTAAACTTCAGGGTCATTAGTGGCTAAAAGAAGGAACCACCCAGTATTCTGCCAGTGTTATTTACATGCTTCCAAAGATTGCTTCTGGGAAAACTGGAGAGTATATCAGATATCAAGGTCTCTGACTTCAGATTCTCCTCACTTTCCATACCGCTGAGGAATTCATTTTTCATTGTGAGTTACATTCTGCATTTACAGTTTGAGTCAGTTTTACTAAATGCAGTCTGGTAAAAAAAAAAAATCAATAAATAATTTTCTCATAGCAAATGAAATTAATAACACTTGAAATATTTTATAGAACTTGTAGAAGTTAGATATGTCACCAAGTGTTTGGGGATTTAAGAGATTATCCCTACATAAATATATAATACTGATATTTATTTATCATCTTTCTAGGCTAGGGAAATTCAAGTACCAGCTCAGATTGGTAGCATTCCCTGAAAGAATGTTCAGTCAGTAAGCTGGTGTGCATGTGACTGATGCTACATTTCAAACACAATTGTTTCCCAAGAAAAGGGTTTTTTTTTTGTTTTGTTTTGCTTTGTTTTTTGCTATCATTATCTTCTCTATCATTAACTCCTCCTGTATTTCTAATCTGTATGTTTTACCCATGTTTTCTTTGTACCTATATCTTTCATTTAAGCTATCACAAATTCATTTGAGAAGTTAACACACACAATGTTGTCAGTTGTTTAAGGTAGAAATAAATTTTAATTACATAATTTCACCTTACGCTTTCACAGAGAAATAGACTCCAAGACCCTCAATATTTCCTTCTTCTCAAAGGCCTAACTAGAGCTGGCACGTCCTTCTAGAAGTTTGGACCTAACCTAAATTTTATGGTTCTGATGGGCACTCATGAGGGTCCTTCTGAACCTGACTTCTATTTGGCACTAGAGGCAAGTGAGAGAACTGAAGATACAGGAGAGAGGCATGCTTTTCCTCTGCTAAAGCCATCCCCAAGGAACATTCTTGGGCAGGCATTCTCTCCTGGAACTTTAGCAATGGATGCAGTTTTGAACCTCACAGATAACACCACTCTCTTGGTTCCACAGAGGTGGGGAAAAAAAGATGGAGCCAGATGAGAAAATTTCCAAACAGGAAAGAGTCTTGGAGACAATCAGTTTCACTCTCAATACTCAGTTCTCTTTTATTCAAAGAGCACTCAGTTTTGCTTGACCATCCTTGTTTACAAAAGAGTTTGAGAAATAGAAGTGAACCCAAAAGTGTATCTACCAGAGGGCAAGGGTGCAAGCCAGAGGATGTTGTGGAAGAGAAGTCTCTTGCTAAGGAGGGAAAGCACCTCACCTTATCGAAACTGTCTGCTAAATTAAATGCATTTCCTGGGCTGTTTTATTCATAAAAGTCAATGTGTAGGTTAGGGAATAATTGATTGCCCAGAAATTGGCGAGTGCTTCCTAAGGAACATTTTTCTTTATGATGTCTTTGGCATTTGTGGTTTACTAGTTCCATTTCCAGCCTTAGCCACCACACCATAAAATTGTAGCTCCGTCCTGAGGCACCAGCTGTTACTTCTGCCAATAATCTCTGGGCTCAGAGACAATAGTGCAGTTACCACGTGCATGGAAAGTGGATCCCTCAGTAAATGCTAAATTTATCAGGGAGGATATGACTGTTGAAGCACACTGAATATTATTTCATCTGGCCCCTAAATAGGAACTGGGGCAAATGACTGCGTGGAGTCGTGCCAGACCAAGTTGGTGCAATTCCACGATGATAAATGCCAGACTTCATTTTATTTGCAGCCACTGATGTATGTGATGTGTCCAGGGTCATTTCCATGAGCTCTTCTAAGGGGACAATTATACAGGTTACAGAACAAATTGGTCTACCATAAAGAATACCCCCTCTGCAGAATGCTTTATAGACTTAGTAACTCAATGAGATAACAAATGGATTTTACTACTAATCTATGTACTGAGATTAGACTTGATAGAAGAATGGCCTGCTACATTACAGTGGGCAGAATCCACAAAGGCTGTGAAGAACCACCTTCCGCTTTCACCCTGAACAATAGCTAATGTCATATCTGATGAATCTAAGAAATTATGGAAAAGGATAAATTTCAGGAACTACTTAAATATGAGAACTGAGACAATATGAAAGATTTTTTTTTAATTTATTTAATGTGTATTTATTTTTGAGAGAGACAGAGACAGAATGCAAATGGGTTGGAGCAGAGAGAGAGGGAGGCACAGAATCTGAAGCAGGCTCCAGGCTCCAAGCTGTCAGCACAGAGCCTGATGCGGGGCTTGAACTCACAAGCTGTGAGATCATGACCTGAGCCGAAGTTGGACACTCAACCGACAGAGCCACCCAGGCACCCCTGAAAGATGGGTTTAAAAATTTTTTTTTTTTTAACGTTTATTTATTTTTGAGACAGAGAGAGACAGAGCATGAACGGGGGAGGGGCCGAGAGAGAGGGAGACACAGAATCGGAAGCAGGCTCCAGGCTCTGAGCCATCAGCCCAGAGCCCGATGCGGGGCTCGAACTCACGGACCGCGAGATCGTGACCTGAGCTGAAGTCGGACGCTTAACCGACTGAGCCACCCAGGCGCCCCAAAGATGGGTTTATATAAAGGCTCTTCTCTTAATTATATTTGCTATTGAGCCTCTTAAGCTGGGGAGAGGTGCAGGGCGAGTAAAATATTTTCCTCATGACAATGAATGGATCATTGCTTTAGAATTCTTAGAGGAGATTTTTAACTCGAGAGAGCCCCCCACTCACCTTTCCCCTACACATCCAAAGATTCTGAGTCTATGGTAAGGACAAGAAATCTGTGTGTTTGTTTTTAAAAGCTCTGCAGGAAAGTTTAATGGTCAGCTGGATCTGAGGACCTGTCGGTCTAATGTTATGTTCCTTCCATAAGCCTCAGGACCACACAAGTCTGCAATCTGATTTCTCAACATGGCACAAATCTTATTTTTACTAGGAATCCATGCTCTGGTCACTTCCTATGTGGAGAGTCGCCATTCACTATGACTACCCATACTATAGGCCATCTTGTTTACTTTCTCTTTTGTGTTAAAACCAGTAAAAATAGGGCACAGGGGTGGCTCAGTTGGTTAAGCGTCTTACTCTTGATTTTGGCTCAGGTTATGATCTCACGGTTTGTGAGTTCAAGCCCCGCATTGGGCTCTGTGCTGGCAGCAGGGCCTGCTTGGGATTCTCTCTCCCCCTCTCCCTCTGCCCCTCTCCTGCTTGTGCTTTCTCTCTCTCTCAAATAAATAAATTTTTTTTTAAAAAAAAAAGGAAAAGAAAACCAACAACAACATTACTAATTCAAAAATCTTTCCTATGTTCTTTTGAATCACTACACAAACCAGCTCTTTGGCTTTATTTCCAAAAGTCTCTCCTTGGCCCAAATCACGACCCCTCTTTTTTGTCTACAATTGTGGAGCTTCTGATGTTGATATGTGAGAACCTCCCTCTTCAAATTAAAAGACATCCTACCCTGAGCTTCAATTTCTCACCTTCCCATGACTGGTGCCTTGGGGTGTGTGTGTGTGTGTGTGTGTGTGTGTGTGAGTGTGTGAGTGTGTGCATGCGTGCACGTGTCCTCTTTTTCACACTGTTACCAGAGATATTACAGTATCAGGTTCTATCTTCCTTGGCTTTTTTTTCCAAGGTCACTCCTTTGGAAAGAGTCTATCAACTCACATGAATGGCTTCAATTTCCATTTCAACATTCATGGCAAATATATAGAGTCTTCATCTAGACACTTCATCTTCACTGAAGTCCCATATTCCACACATAGCGTAATACATTTCCCATCATAGCTTAAATTAAATATGTCAAGATCAGAGTTTCTTATCTCCTCTGCACAAAATTCCTTAGCCTTCCATATTATTATGTCAGCTATCTCCTTGGAAAATAATATATATTTTTATATATTATAGTTGTATTTATTTAAATACATTAAGTATATTAAATATTTAAATATTTTATAATTGTACACAATCACAAGGAAAGATAGGACCATACAGAAGAGATTTTGGAGGAAGCAGGTAGAAAGAGCCCAAGGAAAGACATTGTGGTGGCTGCAATTTTTTTCTCCAAAATTTTTTTCGGCTTTATCCCTTTCCTGTAGTTCTCCACCACCCTGGACTGATCCCACCCAGCTTTCTTAGCCCCACCCCACCCTGACCTGAAGTAGGAGGGATTTTAGAAACCCTCCTAGCCTTCTGGACCTCAGCATCACAATAAGCTTGTTGATCAGATTCTGACCTGTTCTCCAGTTCCAATAATCCAGTCTGTAATTTACCAAACACCATGAAATTGCTACAAATTGTTCCAGGCACTCAAGAAAAACACACACAAACACAAACACACACACACACACACACACCAAAAAAACCCAATAAACTGCTAGGTTTCTGAAATCTATCTGAAAGTCAGGTTTGGTTTCCTATCTAGTTTCTGTCTTCCTGTCTTGACTTTAAGACTTTACCTCATCCTGATGAAGGCCCATCATTACTGCAATCATTTCCCTTGGAGGATTGGTACCTCTCAGGAGAACAGGGTTCTGCCACGTGATGCTGTATGCAGTGCTTTGCCTGACCTCTCGGTTTTGTTTCATCCTTAAGTCTACATCACTCAGCTCCATGCTTTCTTGCCCATCCCACACAGTGGTTTACCTAGCTTCCATCTACCATTTCCATTCTTTCTGGGTGCCATGTTCTTCTGCGTTGGAATGGGCCTCCTCCCTTTGGGTGGATTTGTACAGCTTCTGTCATTTCCAGCTCCCTGCTCTGGTCCAGTGGGCTAGATCTTGTTCCAGCCTCGTCGTCGTTCAGTCTGGTTCATCCCATTGTGATGAATCAGGGCTGGCCCTTGGACATAACAGCAGTTGCTGCTGTTGAACTCTTGTTATCTCTTTTGCCTTAAACCGCTCACTGCTCTTGTCTGCCTAAACAAAGAGCAAGGAGCAGATGTCATTCTATTCATGCCTTCAATCTTCTTACATCTCACTTACCTCCTATAGCAAATTGCTATTTCTCATCAGAGACCTCAAGACACTATTCTTTCTATTTTTTCTTTCTCTGTTTCTCTTTCTCTGCCATGTATGCGTGTGTGCGTGCGCACACGCGCGCACGTGCACACACACGGCTTGCTAAGTAACCTAAGAATCAATCGCTTTTCTGCTCACTCTATGAGAAGAATGATACTCTTTTTAACCTTTCCTACACCCCAACTTGTAAATTTCCATTTTATTACATCATTTTGGTTGCAGTTCTCTCACCAGTCCTCCTGCCAATACTGTATAAGATAATGTAATGTGATAGCAATTTTCCATGTAATTCATTAGCCTGAGACTTCAGTTTTTGATAGTTTCATTTAAAAACTCAGTGTGTACATCTAGATATTTTGTCAAAATGCTTGCCAAAACCACTCACACTTGATAAAAGTAAAATGAAATATGTGCTCAGACCGGAATTGATGGCAGATAATTAGATTTTCTGTTCATGAAAATCAGGTCGGCTTTACAATCTGATGTTTTCTCCAGAAGAATTTGTATTTTACTACCTTCACCTGGCTTTAAGAAACTGATTGTTGCAAGAGAAAGCAGGAGCTCAAAGAGACCATTTCATGGAATTTCAATTTGTTTTCTCTAACCCACAGACAAGTTTTCTGGAAGAAGCGGTTGCAGAAAAGAAATTAAAACATCAAAGCAATTTCTATTTCTTAAGCTTTGACAGATCTAGATTGGAGGCTGGGGGCCAAACAGTTTCTCAAAACATGCTGCTGGCGGGGTACCTGGCCAGCTACTGGCAGGGACATTAGGCTCTGCCCATCCGGGAGACGGCATTTTCTCCGTGGCTGCTTCCCTGCCCTCTCCTTCACTGTCTTTCTATTCTTCTACAACACAAGCTCTACTCAGTAACATCGATTGTCCTAAAGGTCAAAATTGATCATGACAACCCATAATCAAAGTGGCCCATTGGCTTTCTGTTACAAGATTGTGCCCACATGACTTAGCATTTCTCTTAACCCTAAACGTTTCTCCTAAGCCCTCTTCCCTGGCTCACCTTCCATCAACCCTCTTGCACATACCTGAGCACAAAAACAGGAGCCCAACAGCACCTCACACTTTTCACATCTTTTCGTTTCTCTGTTATTTGCACCAAGTTTGTTTGTTTTTGTCTTTGAGCTTTAAATGTATTTCTGCCTGACAAACCTCTGCTCTTCCTTCAAGACCCAGCCCAGTTATTCCTGCCATTTTAAACTTCCCCACCCTTTGAGCTTTCTCTGCACAGAGCCCTTGTTTAAGAAGTATCATGTAAGGGGGTAGGTGGTCTTCAGTTTGCATGTCTGTCACCCCTCTAAGCTGTGGATTCATATTCTTCTTTCTATCCCTGACACCTAACGCGGGCCTGATGCATAGGTAGATACTAGGTGAAGGTCTGTGGAATGACTGGACAGAATAACATGCTGTAGGAATCCAGAGTGTGCCTGATTACTTCATTTGGCCTTTTGTGGTGAGGTCCAAGTCGTGAGCTTGAATCACCTACACACTGTTCATTTTGCTCACTCTCATGGCCAAACCTACACTAAGAAGCCTATCTTTTCAACTAAACAATATGTGGGCTGCTTTTTACCGAAAAATCTCCAAGACCTTGGTAAAGCAACACAAACTCAAGTACAAAAGTGTGACAGTGAGAATAGCTGTATCATCACAAATGTCTATGAAGCAAATACCTCGTGCCATCATTATATCCACTGTCATAAGAAATGCACATGGCGTACCTAGTGGTATCCTGGCTCTTGGCAGCTGGGTTACTATTGAGTATGGATGGCTTAGACAGAAGATTTTGCATTATTGGGGCTCTGAAGACCCAGAACTGGATTTTTATGGCTTCACTAACCTTTGCATATCTGTATCAGGAAGTCTGACCTTGTGAAAGAAATTTAGCTAGAATTATGGAGAGGATTTTGATCATTCTAGAAACTAAAAGATGATTTAATAGAAAAAGTTTTTAGGCCCTATGAATGTTACACCAAGACAGCAAGCTAATATAGATAAGAAAATCCATAAATAAACTTTTAAGCCTTTTCTGGTCTCATTTTTTTAGTACAAAATACTAACAAATTATTATTTCTACTGAATTAGTAGCATTTATTCAGGATACATAAACCAGTCCATGAGATGTACTCTTATGTCTCCCTTGTTTCTTCATTTTATGAAATGAACCAGTTATTATAATTAATATGAGTCAAATCCAATTCTACAAGATTAAATAGAAGAGTTAAAATCCAATAGGATAGTGTCATAATACATAGTTAATAAAGTATTAGTTCATGTTCTAGAAGTCAATTATATCTGCTACTATAATTTCTAAGTTTTAGTGATATAAACATAAAATATAACTCTGAAAGGAGATCCATGGATACGTGTCAGATATTACCGACTTTCTGTTTACAGAGTAAACTCTTATTTTACAAAATGAATATTGGAATATTAGGATTAACACACCATATATATTTTAGAGAGGAGCTGAGGAAGCTTTAATGGAAAGATGGTTGGAATCAAGAGACCAAAGCTTGGGGCGCCTGAGTGGCTCAGTCCGTTAAGCATCCGACGTCGGTTCAAGTCATGATCTCATGGTTCCAGAGTTTGAGCCCCACATCAGGGTCTGGGCTGACAGCCCAGACCCTGGAGTCTGCTTAGGATTCTGTGTCTCCCTCTCTCTTCGCCTTTCCCCACTCATGCTCTGTCTCTCTCTCTCAAAAGCAAATTAACATGAAAAAAAATTTAAGAGACCAAAGTTTGCTCAATTGTAAAATGAGAAGATTGAGTTAGATAGTAATAATAAAGCAGCAGCATTTGAAAATACTCTAAGTATGAAAGGTTCTTTCATATATGTTATTTCACTGGTTTTTCATGTCAGGTCTATGGGGTTCTTACTTTACATTTGATGAAATTGAAATTTGGAGAGGGAAAGTGGCTTGACCAAGGTCATGCTATTATAAGAGCTGTTACATTTATATATTTACAGCTATAAGCTACAAATCGGTCAATGCCAATGCCAATCTAGATATCATATGTCCCCTTCGACCTACCAGATTCCCTGAACAAAAGTGTAGACTTTTTAGAGAATTTGTCAAATAGCACAAGTCATAACAATAATAACCTTTCCCTGTAAGAAGATTATGTCTGGGTCAAAAGCAAAAATAATAGTGAGGATTTGCTTTTTGTGTACTGTGTACATCATACAATCCATAACAAAATAAAAAATTTTTAAAAATTTAAAAGCTGACTTACATATTTCCTCCTAAAATCAATGCACACTTTAAATGCATCTCATCAGAAGTCCTGTAATTAATCCAAGAATGGCTCACCAAGTACTTTCTCACTGTGTTTGGTCTAGTGGCTCAATTTTTTTGTTAAACAATGGCTTTATTGGCATTCTATAAACCTGTTCTGGTTCTGTAAAGTCTAACTGGGGACAACTCCCATTAAAAACATAAAACATAAAAGGGAAAAAGGCAAAACACATTTTCGGTACAAAGCCAATGAACTCTATTCTGGTTTTGGTTAATTTTGATTTTAAGCTTTAAACTGCTGGCATCCACAGGAGGCTAAATTGTCTTCTTGCCGATTTTCTCTTGCGATGATTACCTATAAAGTGCCTTGGGTCCCTTCTGTTAAAAATATGAGCTCCGGGGGCGCCTGGGTGGCGCAGTCGGTTAAGCGTCCGACTTCAGCCAGGTCACGATCTCGCGGTCCGGGAGTTCGAGCCCCGCGTCAGGCTCTGGGCTGATGGCTCAGAGCCTGGAGCCTGTTTCCGATTCTGTGACTCCCTCTCTCTCTGCCCCTCCCCCCTTCATGCTCTGTCTCTCTCTGTCCCAAAAATAAATAAACGTTGAAAAAAAATTAAAAAAAAAAAATATGAGCTCCAAAGAATAACTGTTTGGTGAAGTTTTAAACCAAGTAGAATACCTGAAAAAGATTTAAACATCCAAACAAGTGCTGTGCTGTAAAGTTCAGCAAGAGTCCACCGCCAGTGAATCACTGTGTTTTGCAGAGTGGAAAGCAGCAGCAGAAAGCAGTAGGCATACTGAGACCCTTGATATTTTGCTGGTAATAATTTTTGATTCATAGTTTATATCACTTTTAATGTTTACCTGGTCGTGATTAGACACTCAGGAAGTATTTCACCATATAGAGGCACACTACCCGGAGCATTTATGGCTCCCTATATTGCTGCAAAGCTAATTCCTTCCAAAATTACTCTCTTTGAATTAGGAAATGGAGTCCCCATAAAATTCAATCATAATCAGGGTGCCTGGGTGGCTCAGTCAGTTAAGCATCCAAATCTTGATTTCAGGCTCAGGTCATGATCTCACAGTCCTAGGCTCGAGCCCCACGTTAGACTCTGCACTGAGCGTGGATTCTCCCTGTCCCTCTGCCCCACCCCTGTTTGTGCTTTCTCTCTAAAAATAAATTTTAAAAAATTGAATTATATTCCTTAAGTGGAAAAAATTACACATAATTATGGACTGTTCTCATCTCAGTCCAAGTAGATCTTCAGGTTCCTTGTCTAGTGGCTAATAGGGATATTCCATGTCTCTGGGGGAAGAAGGAAGGAAGCATAGAAAAATGCAAAGATAGACAACTGCTAAACATGATGCCCAGGAGACTTGGGATACAAATAAGACTATGGGCTGGTTTTGATTTATTCTTTAGTGTTTCTGTGGATGTTTCAGACTGTTTTCATGTCAAAGACTCACCAGGTCACACTCTACACAGTCATCCTTACTACAGGAAGTCCATGTCTCCATTGGATGGGCCCTTTAATTTATAAAGCATTCATCAGGATGACAGACAATGATTTAAAAAGGCAGGAAGTTAACAAAACCAGTCGTTATCGGCATCAGTTTTTAGTTCATTAAAAAGAGAGGAGGGAAGGAAAGGTTTTCTACAAAGAGTGGTGAATTGGATTCCATCAGCACGAGAGAAGAAAAACACTAGGATGATAGCAGAATAGATAAATACCAGGTGTGGACTCAAACTCTGGAGATGAGTTTTAATCCTGACTCTGGCATCCTCTACTTTTGAGGTGTTGGCCAATGTCAGTGAGTCTCAGTTTGCTCACCTGTATAATGAGAGGTGAAGAGGGAGATTTTTGTGGTGGAGCATTGGGAGATTATGCTTCTAGACTGGAGGGTAGGGTGTTGGTGAAGGCAAGGACTGAATTTGAGTAGAAAATGACTAATACTATTATCAGGAGAAGGGCATAACCATGAGTATTTGCAAGTGATTTAGCATGAGGAATTATTTGTTACAAAATGAACAGGAGCTTAGTGAGGTAGCCAGAATGGCCTTCTAGGGAAACAACATTGGCAGATGATTCCTGAAAAAATTTTCCAACAAAACTAGCCAGAAGATTAGTAATGACTGAGAAGAGAAATTCCCCTTTTAAAAATTGATGTATGAATTTTCTACATGGCAGAATCCAGACAAGAATTTCAAAAAGGGCCAATAGAAAACGGAGCTGAGGAAGGTTACCACCTGTGGTAGGAGTCCAGAGTGGGACCCAAGCATGTAAAGAAGATTACAAGGAAAATAAACATTCATCCTTAACAGAACTGATCCCAAGTAATGCATCCATAGGAAAACACAAAAAGTTCATAATATTTTTGGCTTGTTTTATTTCTTTCCCCCTATAAAATATAGATCAGTCTAGACAGATAGGGACAGTAGAGAGAAAAACAATGGCCCACAATCCATTCATAAAGAGTTAATTACATTATTGTAAAGACATTTCATGGAATATCTTATGCCATTCTAAAGAAAAGTTTTAAAACATTTTATGCCATGGGAAATGTTCAAAATGTTGAACATTAAGTGAAAAATCATACCAATTTTTATTTACACATACACACACTATATACATATATGCATATATATATGTATATATATCCATACATGTGGAAAAAAAGTAATATATATATATATAACATATATATATGTATATATATCCATACATGTGGAAAAAAAGTAAACATTTTTAAATGTTAAATGGTGATCTCTAGTGGTGAGCTTATGGGTGATTTTCATTTTTCTTCATTTCTGCATTTGTCAAATTCTCAACAACAAGTAAGTATTATCTTGATGGGCAGGAAAAACAATTTAAGAGAAAGAACACAGAATAACTGAAAGTAATTCATATTATTTTAATTGTATTTAGTGGAAAAGAACCCATGAAATACAGACTAGCTGATATTTCACATGAAGATGGACAGAATTCTGTTCCGAATCAAGTTTTTTTTTCTAGATTATCAGAGAAAGCAGAAGCCAAAGATAGGCACTGAAAATCTGATTTAAAAGAAAAAGGGTTGTATTATCGATTTCTACTAACCTATCAGTTTTCTACTACTAACCTATCGATTTCTACTAAGCTTGATGTCAGTAAATAAGCCTTACTGAAATACTTTAGTTCCTAGTCTGTCTTCTCCTTGGTTTCCATAATAATAATTTTGACAACCATCATTTGTTGATTGCTTACTATTCTGTTTTTGTATATAATCCTCTCAACAACCTTATGACATAGATATAATTATTCCATTTTTATAGACAAGAAGACAAACATATAGATTAAGTCACTTGTAGGAGTTATAGACAGTTCATTCCCAAAAGTCCCAGTTCTTAACTTGACATAATATTGATCATGGTCATAATAGGAATAGCTAATATTCCTATTCCTATAATGCCTGTGTTAAGGCTCTGTGTTAAGCATTTTGTATGTATTATCACAATGACTGTTTGCAGCAATCAGATGAGATAAATACCATCATTATAACCACTTTCCAGAGCAGGCACTTGAGCCTTAGAAAGAATAAGTAACTCACATGGGTGCAGCTAATAAATGACAGAAGGAGAAGTTTGCAACCTGATTCCCTTTCCTAAGAAAGCATTTTAGAAGGTCATTTTTTTGCACCCCTATTGTGGAGTCACTCAGAGCCATGGTCACGGTCACAGTGTCCTGATTAGCCTTAATAATTATGTTATTTATGGAAATAAATGAACATTGAAATAGTTTAACAGACTTCCTGGAGAGCTTCTTACATGACACCTCCAGTAGAAACAAACCAGAGCCCCACCTGCATTTCTCACATTATACCCCATGGGGTGAGTAGTCAATAAATATTATTATTTATTGTTTTATTTTTTGTAAATCAATAAGCCCCCATTGTGAGATGCAAAACGAAAGTCCAAACATCTTTGTAGAATATGTAGTATGAACACATAAGGATTGATTGCTTAATCTAATGTAAAATAGCAATAAAATATTAGACATGAAATAGAAATGCAAAGTACAAAACTCAGCAACAATTCACTCATTATTGATTATTGGCTCTGTTCAAGAAAATATCTGGCATCTTGTCTTTTAGAATATTTTGTATGAACGCATGCAGAGAGACTGATTTGCCATTGATTATTTTGTGGCCATAGAGAAAGGATGGGAAGGAAGAAAAAGAGAGAAAGCATGTAAATAAAAAAATGTAAGAAAGCCCAGCTTTATTTCATGATGCTCTATTTTTAAAGCTGGACTCTTTTGGATAGAGATGCTTTCAGCATACACTAGCTGCTGTTCTGTAACATTCTAGGAGTGAAATCCTTCCACTGTTTTCCAGGGAAACTCTACATTGAACAAAGAATCTTGACAGAGGAAGAAAGTCCAAAGGCAGAAATAATCTCTGGAGAGAGATTCAGTAATAACCCAGCAATGTTTGAAATGTCCAATATAAAGAGAGCTTTTGAAAAGGATGGGAACTCAAAAGTTTTGTTGCAATTCACCAGCATCAATTTCACTTAATTCCAAATTCTTATTAAGGGCAGTGGCCTTTTATAAAAAAAAAAAAAATTATAAATTGAGGACTTGACAGAAGTTTCAAAAATGGAACCAAAGATATTTATCTGTTATGTGTTATCCTTGATGCCACAAAGTATTGAACATTATCCTCAACTTCGAGGGATTTGTCAAAACAACATTTTCTACAGAATTTGGCCTTTCCCATTCCCTGTATGGAGTACAGCAAAGATCTCAGACTGTGGACACTTAAGCTGTCCTGACGAGTTAAGGGAGCAGTTTCAAGATGCTGAGAACCCGCCATCATTTGGTTAAAAGTCTCTCTCTCATGGAACTTGCACAACGCCAATAATTTTAAACGGTCTTTAAACATCTAGACAAAGATCTGTTTTCATGTATTTCAACATGATGTCCAATGCTTGATCCACTTTATTTTTCACTATACTGACCAATTGTAAGCATGTACATTTAGGTAACAAACCCAGGATCTTTATGACTTTACCCTCCTTAAGACTGAAGTTTATCGACTGTACAGCAAGGAGGCAATGGTAAGGTATAGATTTCATATATCACAAAATTATGGCCACTTTAACACATTCATACCATTTTCTCTTCAAAACTTTACTCATGTGGTTTTCACACTAGCCTGCTATAATAGAATAGAACCCTGGGGGATACTAGAATTCTTAGCATATTATTTATTAGAGCAATAATTCTAGGGTCCCGGCAATGTTTCTTTCAAGTGGTCAACCAGCACAGGACAGGAAGGGAGCTCACAGGCTTTTCTTTAGAGACTAAAGCTGACCTTGCTGAAAGGAGAAAGATCAAAAATGAATTACATTTGTTCCTATTTTGCATTTGGAAAAAATAAATTGGTTGCCTTTCAGTTACAAAAGTAAGCAGAAAAAAATAAAATAGGGTAAGCCGCCATTGGAAAACCCCTGATCCAGTGCTCTGTAAAATTCTGTGGGTATCCCAAGAGAATAGCAGGATTTTAGCTGGCCCTGCCTCTTGCCTTGCTTGAAGCAATCATTTCAATTACCACTTGATAATGTGGAGATCAGGGCATGGATGACAAGCCTCCCGAAAAACTCCCTTCATTTAGCTACTTTAGCAACTCTCAACCTCAGAGTCTATTTAAGTGCCAGAATAGTACTATCCCTGTTTGCCAACCTCTCTTCAGAGCAGGAGCTCTGGAAAAGCATGATTTCAGTCCCCTCTGTGTAACTAGCTGATGTAAAAGGGGACCTAGCAGAGCTGGGACTGGGAAGCTGAACACTACTAGCCTTTATGCCACTTGCTTCTCTGATTTCAGGGTTCTGTACTAGGTAGGCCATTATATAGGATGTGATCCCAAGCTACACAGGAGAGTGAATTTGAGGGTATGGCCCATGACTCTATCAAATATTTCCTGACCCCCACCTCCACCATCTGCCAACTGCCTTTTTTTTTTTTTTTTATTTTAACGTTTATTCATTATTGAGAGACAGAGAGTGAGCATGAGCAGGGGAGGGGCAGAGAGAGGAGGAGACAGAATCTGAAGCAGGCTCCAGGCTCCGAGCTGTCAGCACAGAGGCCGACGTGGGGCTAGAACTCACAAACCGTGAGATCATGACCTGAGCTGAAGTCAGACGCTTAACTGACTGAACCACCTAGGCGCCCCACCAACTGCCCCTTTTGAGGTGACTAGGTAAACAGGCAAGTAAGAACTACAGAGTAAGCCACTCCTTTTCAATTAATAATAACAACTGTTCATAACATTTTAGAGTCCTTTGCAAAATTATTTTGCATGCATTGTGTTATTTCATCTTTGTGACTACCTGTGAAGTTGTATCATCTACAGTTGATGACTGATGACACCCCCTATTTGATCATCACGACACTGTGAACATGAGTCACTGTGCAGTGAGCTTTATTATCCCCATTTGATAGATGGTAACATTGATGTTTAGAAGGATGCCAGAACTGGTCCAAATACCTTGGCTAGAAAGTGGCCGAATCAAGATACTAATGAACTTGTGTTATCCACATCCCAGTCTGATGCTCTCGACCTGTCAACAAAGGAAACAACAGATTGAGTCATGGCCTGACCCATCTTAGCATGGAAACTTGAGCAAATTCCCAAGTAGATCTATACCCAGAGTTTCTCCTAAAGATGATGGGAAAACATTATTAGAAATAATATGAATAGCAGCATGTTTTATCCTATTTGGAATGTTAATTAGGGGAGTGGACTTGGGTCACTTATGGAAAATGTGGAGAATATATGCGTGAGTCTTCTCTGACTGCCCCTTTCTCTCTGTTACTCCAAATCCCCAACTAACTCATCAAATCAATTTTTGAAGGAAAAAACAAACAAACAAAGCTTAAAATGGGCCAGGAATTTAAACCAAGCATACAAAGACAATCCATAGCAAGCTCATCTTTCCTTGTAGGCAGAGAGAAATCAGTGTCAACAACGGTGCTGGATAATGCCCGAGGTGATACGTAGAGAACTGTGGACTCAGCAAGGGGCAGCAGCATGACCTATGATTATGGTCCTTTCCTTTTCTTTTTAAATAAATGCCATGAGGGAAATGCCACTTCTGACATTTCATAATACTTTGTACTTTGGGGAAAAGAAACCAGCCAAGGAAGCTAGGCCTGAGGTAAGAGCCACCAGAAATGCTTAGCATGTCAAAGTACAACATCAATAACCCTTGATCCTGGAGGGCAGGATTCTGTGGGGAAACCTGGGGAAAGGGATGGATTGAGGGCCCATGGTGCTGACAGACTGAGCAATGGTGCTTAGCTTTGGGGCACGTGGCCCTCCCTGTCTCTGGCATGCAGCACTCCAATTTTCTGTTTAGCAGGACCAGCAAAATTTGAAACTCCATACCAGAAAGCCTCAACATCCTCACAGCATTTTCTCACCCAAGACACAGTTCTTTCTAAAGACTAGGATTTACCCTGAAGCTTGCTTTAAAAAAATAATAACAGCTTTATGAAGACGCAATTCACATGTCATACGTTCACTTATTTAAAATATGTGATTCAATGAGGTTTAGTGTATTTTTGGAATTGTGTAACCTTTGCTACAATCAATTGTAGAACATTTTTATCACCCCCAAATGAAAACCCATTCCCATGAATAGTCACCATCCAATTACTGACAACCCCCCCCCCCCCCCACCTCAGCCCTAGGCAGCCACTAATCTACTTTCTGCCCCTATGGATTTGCCTGTTCTGGACTTTTCATATAAATGAATCATACCATATATGAACTTCTGTGTCTGGCTTCTTTCATTCAGCATAATGTTTCCATGGTTCAACGATTGTTGAAGTGTAGGGGAGGAAAGATAATTTTTCCTCTACCTTTTAGAGTTCTTGGCTGAGACCATGGACTAGAAGAAAGATAAATAAGAGAAATAAAACTTACTAACATGTATACTTCATGTCTACATGAGAGACACCCAGGGAACAATTAGTTATTCCCTAAGGCAGCTTAAATGCATGCTTACATACCATCTTAGTAGGGGAAGAGGTGGGGAATGTAGGCCTCTGAGAAGCAAGCAGATGATTTTTAGGAAAGATGATTAGACCCTTAGAAGAACAGATGGGAAGTATGACAGTTTGTGACAAAGTTTGTCAGGGTGTGACATCCACTTGTACTCTCGTCTCCTGTGGTTATGGCTGATGACACTCGCAGGGAGGGAATCTGTGACAGTCAAGCTCCTTTTAGAGTATCTGTCTTTAGGCAGATGGCGGGGGGCGGGGGGCAGGGGGTGCGGTTCAGAGAAAGGCTGTGCCTGCATTTGCTGTTTTTCGAGTGCCTATCACTCAAAATTATCAGCATACCAACGTGACGTGTTCTGCCCTCCTTCAGTTAGTGTGTGTCAGAATTTCATTTCTTTTTCTTGTTGAGTAATACTCCATTGTGTAGACAGACCACATTATTTTTACTCGCTCATTAGTTGATGGATAATTAGGTTGTTTCCACCTTGGAGCTTTCATGAATAATCTTGCTGTGAAGACCTACAAGTGGAATCGCTGGGTCATACGGTCACTCTGTTTTTTAATTTTGGAGGAATTGCTAGGTCTTTTCTGCAGCATTTTGCATTCCTGCCAGCAGTGTAAGAGAGTTCTAACCCCTCTACATTCTCTACAACACTTGTCATTACCTGTGTGTTTGCTTCTAGCCATCTTAGTGGGTTTGAATTGGTATCCCATTGCTGTTTTCATTGGCATTTCCCCCACTAACTAATGATGTTGAGCATCTCTTCACATACTTATTGTGCATTTGTTGATCTTCTTTGGAGATGTGTCTATTCAGATCCTTTGCCCATTTGCCAGTTGGCTTGTCCTTTTGAGTAATAGTCTATACCAAAGCTTTTAACATTAAATTTCAAATTTGCCTCACCTGATGACATCACGCTGTGGTCGGAGAAGTTGCCAGATCTTTTCCCTTCAGATGTAGTCAATCCTGGGTCACTTCTTTCTTGAGTCTAAGTATGGTAGCCCTAATGTGGAAAGTTTTCAGTTCCACCAACATGCCTTTCACTGACATGGCTCAGAAGCTGAGAGTGGGGATATGAGGCATTACTATCTTCTGTGGCAACTGAAATCCTTATTTTTCCTCCTCTCCCAGTAGAACTTCCATTGTGTAAAAGCCTATCACCAGAGTTCCTATCACTTGGTTGGGAAGGAAATAACTCTGTATGAGTGTAAACCCTGCTGCCTGAATGCTCAAGGTGTTTTCTCACCTATACTATTAGGGTGGCCTGAGGAGACCAGCATTTCCTCAGAGGAGAAAAGAGCAATTTAAATAGTCTATATAATCCACTTTAGTGAAGGACAAAGCAAAATGTTTCTCCCATGTTTCAGTCTAGATTGCTAATTAGACCTGAAATTTAGTTTTGACTCTGACTTTCTCACAATTCTATCTATTCTTTTTTATTTTTTTAATTTCTTTTTCAACGTTTTTATTTATTTTTGGGACAGAGAGAGACAGAGCATGAACGGGGGAGGGGCAGAGAGAGAGGGAGACACAGAATCGGAAACAGGCTCCAGGCTCTGAGCCATCAGCCCAGAGCCCGACGCGGGGCTCGAACTCACGGACCGCGAGATCGTGACCTGGCTGAAGTCGGACGCTTAACCGACTGCGCCACCCAGGCGCCCCTCTATTCTTTATTTAATACATTCTTTTAAACATCAGGCATACAGTCTTGCTCCCCATTAGCCAGTTGCCAGCCCCTACTGCATATTGGAATCACCTGGAAAACTTTTAAAAACTGTATTCTTGCTGGGGCCCCACAACCAGAGTGTTTGATTTCACTGCTTTCGAGTGAGCCGAGTCCCCCACTTAAAGTTTGCAAAAGCTCCACATGTGATTCTAATATGCAGACAGAACCGAAACACAAGCCCAGCTATTACCAGCCTCTTAATTTGTCATCTGACTTAATAAAAGAACACATTGTCCTCTCTAGGTCCGTGATTCTCAAACTTTAACATGCATAGGTGTCATCTGGGTATCTTGCTAATACACAGATCTGATTTGGTGGGCCTGGGGGGTAGGCCTGAGATTCTGAAGTTCTAACAAGCCCCCACCTCTCCCTATGAGGCTTAGGCTACTGATCGGTGGCTCAAAGTTCTCAGAATTGGTGAGTCCCTACATATTCATGGCACTTTTCGATTACTTCTAATAGGACCTCTATCTCCTCAGGCATTCCACTTTTTAGAACAGCCATCATAAAATATATGTGTTGCTCTCCTTTTAAAAATAGAATTGAAATTCTACTATTGCTAATCTAGGCAATCCTTAACAAAAAGATAAAACAATAAACCTCTATATTAATTTAAAATAATGATCCAGATCCTTTAAAGTGGTCATAAAAATACTGCACAGCTGAATGAATAAGGAACTTTGTGCGTCATATAATTGAAGGTATTGGTCTTTGAAGCCAGTCATAGGAGTCTCACTTTGTGACCTTGGAAGTTTCTTAACTTCTCTGAGTCATTGTTTCCTCTGTGAATGTTAAGCAGCAGAAGTTACTTCTAGGGCTGTTATGAAGACAGGTGAATTAAGAAATGTAAAGTGCTCATAGGTTCATTGACTTCTCAGTAGGCCTAAAGAGAGTTTAGGGTTTTTTTTTAAATAAATGTTAAAATAGCCATTGCAGTATCCAAATATGTGAAATACTCACTAAAATCTTTTACATGGGGATTTAAAAGTAGAGTCTCTTCTCTTTAACCTCCCAAACTCATCTTTTTCTCACTTCTCTTAACATCAAGAACAGTCTTGAGAAAAACCACAGAAGGGCAAATTGAGGTTGACATAGAAAAAGAGGCCCTGATGCTACTTTGACTTACTGATGAGATATCAGAATATATTTTACAGAGATTTTCTTCTTCCTCATTTTTTTTTTTTTTACCTCTGCTACAAAAGCCACCTCTTTCTTTCCTTTCCCACCATCTGCCTGAGTCACCACCAGATATACAAACTCCTTGGCCGAATGTTATAAGGTGTTTGGGTCTTTTGAGACCCATCAGATACCAGAGAGACTGAGAAGTCAAAATAGTTGTTGGTTTATTATCAGAGAAAAAGCACTACAAAGAAATCAAAAGGAATAGCCCGTATTTTTCCACTAAACAAATTGATCTTCCTTAAAATCTTTTCCCCCCTAGAAATGGAACCAAGGTGTATTACTATAAAAATTTTGGCCATATTGAGAAATCATCTAATGTTATCATAAGATCTGTAACTACTTTGCTAGTTTCCAGAAAACATCTTTTTTATAGTACACTCAACAACTTTAGAGAGATGTTTTAAAAAAATCAAGTGAAAAGTTCTCATTACCTTCTTCATAATTATGGTAGATGAAAATTGCACGATATCAGCTTTTCTATTTGTTCCTTATCAGGGCAGAGTACAAGAGTTGTCATTCGTTGAAGGGCTATGTCTACCTGAGTCTTCCAGTCTTGTTTTGGTTAACCTTTCAGTCTAAAGAAATAAAACTTGACTTGACTGCTACCTGTCGGTAAAGAGAACAAAAGGACAGCCAACAGGAATCTGTGTTCTCAGGGAGAGGGAGTCCCTGTTATAAAGCAAAAGCCCTTTGAATATGGGATTGGTGTGGCAATGGGGGGTGGGGGTGGGGTGCAAACGGGAGGGCCTTTAATCTTTTCAGTCCTTGAGATTCTATATCCACTGCAAAATTATGAGGAACAGAGGTGTGCTTCTGCTGATTATCAAACTAGAATAACTGGAGTCCTTACCAAATCCACCCCATCTCATGTAACTTCCCCTGTGATGGAAGAAGTGGCATTAGGCTCTGAAAAGTGAGCAAAGGACAGCCTAAGGATAAGTTCCCTTAAAAATTACATTGGTTAGGGGGTGCCTGGGTGGCTCAATCGGTTAAGCTTCTGGCTCTTGATTTCAGCTCAGGTCATGATCTCATGGTCCTGGGATCAAGCCCCAAGTCAGACTCTGGGCTGGGCTCTGCGCTGAGTATGAAGCCTGGTTAAGATTCTCCCTCTCCTTCTGCCCCTCCTCTGCTCGTGCTCGCTCTCTCTTTCTCTCTCAAATTATGTTAGTCATTTTCACCTTTGCTACCTTTGCTAGGGGGAGAAGTGAAAGGTGAACATTAGCAATCTCTTCTGATTTTTGCCTCTCTTGATTTCAAGGGCTAATTCATAAGGATTAACTTTATCCTGCCTCTTTAAATGGACTGAAATGTCCTTCAATAATCAAGTTGCCTATTAATAGTTTTACTATGCAAGAGCACCAAAATCAATTTATAATTTAATGGTTCCTCCTGTCAGGGATACTATTGATGGTATTATTAGTGATTTTGAAATAATATGCCATTATGCAAATCCCATCTATTTTAGGTGTCTTTGCCAGGCACCTACAGAGGTACTGTTTTCTTTTTCTTCATCTTTGATTTTCCAGTCTTACAGTTATCAAATCCTGAAACATTTTCTAAGGATTATGGACCTAGTAAATATTGATAATCTAAAGGTAAACTTTCAGTGCTTATTGTATTATACAAATTGTGTGGGATTTTATATTTCTCATACTCCAGAGTATAGAAAATAAAACTGCTACAACAATAGAGGATTAAATTCACAAAGGATATGAAACAATGTTATTTGGTTACTTCCATTCATTTGTGAATGAGTGGTCATGTTGCTTTTTGGGAAGAAAACCAGTAGTTTTTTCTTAACAGACTTACCCGGTTAGCCAGGCTACTCCAGTCGTCTCTATGGTGCTCTATTTATGCAAATCAAAAAAACGTGGGATTACACATAGGATGGGTTGGGACTGCAAGATGCAGAAAGAGAAGCCAAATGTTTTTAGGTAATATAAGCAAGAGCATTGCAACATAACATTCAGCTTAATGTAGCTGAACTACATTAAGCTACATTCATTCAACTTCATGAAGCTGCCTTGATAAGGCATGTTAGACCATCAAGTCCAGAAGATGGTGGCAGGGCCCTTCTAATGCCCATCAGCACTTTGCCACACTTGGTCTTACGGGTGATTTCTTTAGTGGAATTGTACAACTGCAGTTTATAAGGCAGGAAGATGGAAATTAATACCCCAAATGCATAACTTCAATGACAAAGAGGATAGACATTTGGCAGGTTTTGCAAAATAAACTTGATTTCACTGATAACATCAAATTCAGTTCTGAAATAAAGAGTTCATGTATCATCATGGCTTACATCTCTTGTGCTCTCTCTAATAATTTTTAACTTTTGGAGATTGAGGAATGATCAGATATCTTAATATAGTCAGGGCAGGCTGATTTTATTATAGATTTACACTCTCTCACTCTCTAAGTAAATGGGTCACTTCCAGAAAACAATTCTAGAAGTTAGACAGGAACTGTTCACTGTATACACGTAGTTGGACTTCATCACATTGTTGGTAGTTTTGTAAATACCTAACTACTCTTTAAAAATGATTTAAAAAATAAAAAATAAATAAAAATAAAAATAATTATTGTTTTAGTCATTTACAGATGTTCACCTGGGCTTAGTATTTCAGTCTTTGAGAACACAGCTGAGATAGAAAAGGCCCTGTTATGAACCCCAATTCCTCAGTAATGAGAAATTAGATATGAGCATCATTCAGGGATATTCTTTAGCTGAGGAACAGAGAGCCGGTTATGGGGCTCCAAAGGACCAGATGCAATCATTTGATCTCATTTCCACAATGTTAACCCCAGAAAGTAAGACTAAAGCATTTAGCATTAGGAACTAGGATTTTCAGAAAATTAAAAGCAACTTCTACCTTTATTTAATACTAGGAAAGAACACTGAAGCTCCTTGTCATACATAGGTCTAAATGAAACTTGATGGCTTTGGTCAATAACTAGAAGAAAAAAAAAAGATTATAAACAAAATTTGTTCCAGAAGATCTAGAAAACTCCACTCAAACTAAATAACGTCCATGACATTAAAACTGTGTCTATGTAAATTCATTGTTTCAAAAACTTTAGTCAGAAATGTTCTTGGCCAATGTTACTGGAAAAAAATTTTTTTTCAAGGACAAGCAAGTGTTTAGGGGGCTCTGAGTAAGTTGCAATATAGGAAGTGATTAAGCCCTTATTAATTAGAAGGTAACATTAGATTTCTTTTCACAGTCATCAGGCTTATGGGAAATTGACATTTGCATAATATTTGCATTTGTCCTACTGTCTGTCAGTCACTCTCAACCAGAGGACCCTAAGGCTACAAGTGCTAATGGATGGATTACAGGAAGAATTCTTAAATGCCTTGGTGTATTGCTAGAGTTGGAAATAGTATAAATGGTATATTTTGTAAGAGTTGAAATTCAACTTTGGAGGGATGAAAATAACTATAACATCATGGTTCCCCATCCCCCACCTTCCAAAACAGCTATTGGGAGGCCTCAGCTTTCTTCTTTAGAAAGACAAATAAAACATGAACACCTTCCCCTTGAGATCTAGGTGGAAAATCTGACTAACTTGAAGAAGAGTCTGATTCTAGGACATTGGGTGGGGTAACATAAAAGTGTTTGATTTTGTGATGGTCTTATACATTTATTACTTTAATAAAACTTTATGATAAAAATATTATGTTTGGAAATACAGTAAAGCAGAATGAAGGTAAAAAAATTAAAAAATGACCCATAAGCCAGTCACTCACAGATAACCTCTGTTGATATTTTGATGTGATTTACCTATTTGTTCTAAAGGATTGATTTCCCAGGCACAGCTCAGACAATCCTACGATTAAGGCATTTACTAAGTAAATATTTTTTTTTCTTATTATTGTGATCTGTGTTCTTCTGCTTTTCCTCCTCATGATGCTGATGATAAACCTATTAGTCCTGAGTGCTACATGTTGCCTAAAATCATTCCATGGCCTTGGGCAGGGGAGCTATGCATTGGGTGACCTCGATAATCTTACAGACCTACCCCACACCCATTCTGGAAGAACAAAGTGACGGAAGGTTCTCTGGAAGTACAGAAGTTTGTCTGGAAGTGCAGCTCGTTAACCTTGCTTTCCTCTTCTCTATGTTCCTTCTCTTTCCCTTGTTCGTCAATTTCTACTCTTCTCTGTTTCAGCAAAACAATATCAGTCAAGGTAATTGATGATGAGGAGTATGAGAAAAACAAGACCTTCTTCCTTGAGATTGGAGAGCCCCGCCTGGTGGAGATGAGTGAGAAGAAAGGTGGGGGAGCTGCTCCAGGGCTGAGCCCAACAGCTTCTTGCTGGCCTGTGCCACCCCTGGATGCCTGCACTCTTCAGACGTGACTCACAACACACACATCCCTCCACCTATGTAACAGGGCATAGATCTCACCCCCCGGGGGCCACAGGGGTCCCAACCTGTAGCGCCATCAGCCAATTCTGGCCACTCTGCACGCTGCAGGGCTGAGAAACGAACGTTCAGTGCAGTCAATCAGGCCTCCATTTCTGGGAAAGATGGTGCTAATGTTTGCCAGGCCAAAATGAAGCCAACTTTCTGATCTCTCTTCCTAAGTTGGGATACTTCCTGACAGCTAAGTGAAGCAGGAAGAAATGGTGTAAGTGGTAAATTGGAAGAAAACGTCACCGGGGCCAGCTGGGAGTAGCCGTGATGCCCTTTTACATACTTCTGGAGGTCCATGTGTTGCCAGTTCAACCTTCATAACATCACAGTAACATGCAGCTTGGTGAACACCTAGCATGAGCGTGTGACGCCAACCATTTGTTTTGCCTTTGTCTTGTGTTCCCACAGGAAGATCATTACCATTAGAATATTTGACCGTGAGGAATATGAGAAAGAGTGCAGTTTCTCCCTTGTGCTTGAGGAACCAAAATGGATAAGAAGAGGAATGACAGGTGTGAGAGTATACAAAGACATACCAGCGAGAAATTGTACTCTTCTCTCTCCGTGTCTCCTACTCTCACACTTAACTCTCTCCTCTTCCTCGGCTCCAAGTACTATCCTTTATTTCCTTGGAAGCTTTAGCAATTTCATCCCCTTCCCTCATTCACAAGTGCACCAAGAAATGCCCCCTCTCTTCAGGAAACGCCCACTAACCTGGGTTGAAACGCAGACTTAAGAAATACCGTAAGAGATTTCTGTAAATCAGAAGTGATGATCTAAAAGCATGATTTCTGTGTTCAGTTATTCACTATTCAGGGATTGTTCTAAAATGTGCTTCTGACTACCAAATCTCCCCTTGAACATTAGTCATAAAAACTTAGTGATAATGCTTATTAGTAATGACTAATAAGTAATGACTTCTAACTAATGCCATTAGTCTAATGGCAACTAATAGGAACTTTTGAGATAATTCAGTAATTAGGCTCCTTTCCACAACCCAGTTTTCAAAAAAATAGATATTTAATAAGAGCAAAGACCCTTGAAGAATACTGTTGTACACATTGTAGCATCCATTTGGCCTAAGATTTTTCATATCATCAAATATGACATTTCCAAGGGACAAGAGGTAGACACGAATTTAGGCCTTGCTTAAGGCCTAGCCAGCCTTATGCTCCAAAATGTTTTGATCCTTATAGAATTGACAGTTTTCTAATATGTATAGTAAAAAGGAAAAATAAATAGCAGTATCCTTAAAGCTAGATTTTTTTTTAGTTGATTTGTACTTACTTATTTTTAGAAAATATTTGACAAAGAAGCCAATTTCTTTGTGCTCTTTGATTTTATATCTATTTCCACGGCCTAGTTTTCATAAGGAAGGACAGGAATTTTATACCACCCTTAAAGATAATATTTTGTTCTGAATCATCACAAGGCTTCATATAATTGCCTTCTACTAGTGGCCATTTTAAAGGGATTATGTAAATGAGCATTCTACACATTAATAGATCTTACTCACTGCATACAAACATGCATGCAGTAGCATAGGAGACGATTAGACCACTTGGTAAGAAATTTATACTTTTACATGTAAGAAAAAAAAATCAAATATAGTCTATTCCTGTATAGACTCAACATTTGGGGGAATTTGATCTCACATTTGTAAGAACTCACAGACTTCAGAGTCCGTCAGAAAAAAAAAAAAAGTATATGTCCTGACTTAATCATGTCCCAAAGGAACATTTTGGGGACTCATTTTAATGCGGTCTATTTAATATGCTCCATAGGCAGTAGGCAGAAGGAAAAGACACTGTAGAAAACTGAGCTGATTTCTTACAAAGATGGGATCAAAAATGCCTCATTAGCATACAGGAAAAAAGCACTTACTTCTAAATGTATTCCTCCAAAACACTGTCTTTTATCTAAAGGAAGAGCATCTTAGATACAGCTCTTTCAATTGCCATTTTAGTAAAATATGCCCTCATGTGAAAGCAAATTAAAATTCCTTGATAGCACTATCTGGTTTCGCACCCTTCCAAGTGGATTCTTGTCACTATAAGTGAAATTACTGACTTGTTTTAGAAAGTATCCTCTAATGCCACTACCATTAGCAGGAAAACAGGACTGAAAATGTAATTGTAGCATTCTCCTCCACAACTCCTGAAGTAATTGGTATATGTTTAGCTAGGTAGCTTTCACCAAAATAAAGCGCCACTGTATAGTCTGGGTTTAAAGCACATAACCTGGAAGATAAATCACGGATGTCCCACCCCACCCCACCTCCACCTGCCTTGTCGGTTTCCATGAAGTTACAGGTCCACAAGAAGTAGTGTGATCGTGCACTTATAATATGCATAAGTCATAGATAAGGACACACACATAAGTGCTAATTCCTGGGACTCAAGTTTTGAAGGTTTAAAAAACATAAGCATCCCTTGATGGCCAGTGAATACCAAATAAGTAGAACCTCCAGAGAGGGCTTTACCTTGTGCCAAAGTCTCCGTCAGGCAGGGCAGCCAAAATAGAATTTCCTGAGATGTTCTTTCTATCGTCATTGAACGACAGGTATCATACCTGAGATCCTGGATGATTTAAGACTCCCGTATGTTGGGTTCAGTAACTCTCTGGCAATATGTAATGAGGAAGACTCAGTCAAATAAAGTTAAGATTAACTCCGTAAAATATTTCTACTGTGTGTGGTAAACTGGATACGTATAGTGTATGTAAACATATACAGTAGAAATGTTTTATGAAGTCCCCAGGTGAACTGTACACATATATAATCAACCACACACATTTCCAAAAATTAGCGTTGGGATTGTTTATTTGAAAATATTCCCAATGCCACATTTCCTTGGGGTGCACCCATGTTAGCAGTGGCCCCCTACCACTGTAATCAAATCTGCCTGGATTTCTTTCTGCTGATATTCCTCTTACTTTCATTATTCATCTGGTCTCTTATTCTGTGTTTGTCTTTGTCTGTTTCTTTCACAGCCCTGTTACTGAATGAGCTTGGTAAGCATTTCATTTCTTGCATTTCCTTTCCATTTTTCTAAGTTATTTTCCATGAATGTCAGGTGATACAGTACCTTTCTGACTCTTATTTCTGTTGGTTTACTAGCCATATTGTTGTGTAGGGCCGCTGGCCTCATTTTTGTGTAGTTCAGATAGTTTATATTCCATTTTTAGTTCAGTGCAGTCTCTTTAAAAACCAGCGGTTGCTTAGGTATGCACAAGAATTAAATTTGTGCACTAAGCCCCGTAATCTTAAAAGAATGAGTAGCGATTAACTCATGTGCAGATGTTTTCAGTTTTTTCTTAATTGTGAATATAATTTGGCAAGTTTCTGTATCTTAGATGGGTGGTCAGGCAGCCAATGTCACTAGTATTTGTTATTTAGATTGTAAGTTAAATAAATTGTAACATTTGTTCTTTTTTCTTTTTTAGGTGGCTTCACAATAACAGGTATGAATTTTTAAAGCTAATGACGTCAAATTTTTTTTTTTTTTTTTTTGCTGTTTTCACCATGTGTTGTTTACATTTTTAAAAATCACTTCTCATTTTTATTTGCTTTTATGAAGGAAAATACCTGTACGGTAAGACAGTTTTTTTTTTTTTTTAATGTTCTTCATTTTCCCCCAAATGCCCTTAAAAATCAAACCAAAACCACATTTTAGGTAACCTGCGTTAACATTTAGCCGTGGCACATGGTGTGTTCTTGTTGACTTTACACATTTACCGTTTTACACATTAACAATGTGTGTGTTGTGTTCCTGTATATGCACATTTGTATGGAGAACCTGTAATTGTTCACATTTTGATACTGGTCGATTTATAAATGTTCACGTAGCACTGATGATGTGCTGTGTACCCCTGCCAGATGCTCCAGAGTGCCAGAATAAATAAGACAATTGCTGGCCTTAAGGAAACAGAGGAATTGACATCTAGGACCGCTCCATGGCCCAAGTTCAGGCTCCTACTAATACATGATGCCCGGTTAGCAGAGGACAGAGCAGTCCTTTCCCCTCACCCCACAGCACCAATCTGAGCCCCTGTTTGGGGACTTCAGTTTGAGCTTTATAATCATGGCCTCTTCAGGTGCATTACAGAGTGTTCTATAAAAACCCAAACTGCGAGTCAAAAAGTTTAAAACTCTCAAATTCATACTGGTATCCAGCCTGTGTTGATTACATTAAACTATTCCAAACACTCTAAAGCTATTTTCTTGTGTACAGAAGGAAGATGTTTCCTTACGGCATCCTCCCTTTTGACCCTAAGCAATTTCTCACTTTTTCAGAATCATCTATGCAGATTTAGAGAGGGACAGAAATAATAAATGGTAGGTCTGATCTGTGTGAAGGTGAAGGTTGAAGATGTCTCTAAAGGCATCCTAATGGCCATGGCATTTTCAATATGTTGTGCAGATACCAACAGTGGCATTCTTTTTTTCCTGAAATCAGCTGAACCAAAATATTTAAGGGGGGAAATATTTCCAAAAATTTCCATTTTGCAAATGCTATGGTGGGGGAGTTGGGAATTAATTAAACCACTGTTCATATAAACTCATGATCAGGTCGTTCCAATATGATTCTGTCCAAAGTGGAACTTTCTGAATGAGAGCAATTTCACAGGGGGTCTTTGCTCTCTGCTTCTCCTCCCCGGACACGGCATTTAATGATAAAATAATCCACAGACTCTCAGAGACACAGACATTGAAAAGGATAAAAATGCTAAAACAGGACAAGTCCTCACAGAGGGTTTTTAAAACTGAACCATGTGAAGCTGCGCCCCCCCCCCGTCAAGTCTCCCCAGTTGTGCACTGCTGAAGATGCTGGTTTTGAATCCAAGTGTGGGAATTTGCATTTAGTTTTAAAACTTTTATCTTATTTTTCTCATCCCATGTTTGAACTCACTGAAGGCTTCTTGGAAATACTCTGCTCCTGGCACCCAATAAGTTGGTTGTCCTTGTGAGATTTGAGGGAGGTGGAAATTGGGCAAGGTAGCCTTCATGGATTCTGAAATAATTAGAAATTAAAAAGTCAACCATTGGAGAAATATTGTAGGGTCTAGCAGCACCTTAAGTCCTGTGCAGCCTGATAATGAGATCTTCACTAGAAAATCATTGGCTACATAGTGCCTTGTTAAAATGCATTGATGTATTTAGCTATTTTCCTGTTTTCCTGATAATTGACTATGTCAGGATTTTGCTTTTCGGGCCTTCCTTTTGTGTCACTTGAAGCACCCTCCCTTTTAAATATCTAGGTAATAACAGGATCCTAGTTTTCTTTCCCCAGAAATTGTTCATATCATGTTCTAGAATATCTGTCCAGTAATGCCCAACATTTCGTGCCTTGGACACATCTTGCGTTCAAGAGAACAGAATCACTCCTTCCAAAGATTTCTCTCATTTCATGTACTTACTTCATTAAATCTTTCTTAAGGCTTTAATTTGAACTAGAGATTTTCTGTTCTTGCCCCCCTCTTCCCAACACTTGAAATTGATACAGTTAGAACAAGAGAATGTTCCAAAACTCTCTGGGAATCTCCACATTGGCAGGCCCCTCTCACTTTAGATGACCCTTCTTCTCCTGAGCTGGGTCAGAATACCTGGGATCCACATGCTATAGATGCCCTGGGGAAGGTTCTAAAACTTAGGTCTACACAGTGAAAAGCAGCTTTAAGCCTAAAGAACTTTCCTTTGAAGTCACTTTGAGGCTTTGAAGTCAAGGCTTTGAGATGCAAGGGAAGTAGAGAAGAATTAATCTAGCCCTTGGCCTCCGCCTGCAGCTTTTCTGTAGTCTTGTGCAGCTGAGTGTGAAAATCTAAATCTGAAGCAGAATATATGGAAATTGAAAAAGTCATTTGGTTCACAGCCCAATATATTTCAGAGATTTCATTAGTGGTGGACATTAAGTGCTGGAGGTGATTTTGGAATTTGCAAATCTTTATGTGTTGCTCCTAGACCTTGCCTCGTTGAAAGGCCCTTGTTGGGACCTATGATCTCATTCTCCCTTGACCTTTACGGCATAAAACATGATAACCTCCTACACGTTATAGCTCATTAGAGTTTGTAATTTGGTATACCATTTAATCTTCAACCTTCCAAAGATAATATTGTTCTCACCTATGTGAAGGAAATGAAGGTTGAAAGAGATTAATCAATTGATTAATCAATCTACCCCAAATCACCCATCTGGATTCAGAGCCTGGCCCTCTAATGATGAGTGTTCTAGCACCTTCATTTCCTCCCTTTCGACCTCTTCATTCCTACCTTCATCTTGACCCCTTTGCAATCCAAAGCCCAGCCATGTCTCATAAATGCCATCAGTGTGAATTCCAGTCAAATGAGCAATGAGGGGGACTCATTGCGTGTGCATCACACTGCTTGTGATGTGAAACTAGAGCGCATTAATTTGGATGGTTTAAAAAAAATTAAGTATTCTGGTTCAATTTGGAAAAGAGAGAGGCATGTGTGATTCCCTAAACAGGCAGCCATAGAGTTGTATATTAAAAGTCAATATACTTCTCTAAAAGTTGCTCTCCCAGTTAGATAATTCTCATAATACAGTAGACTTAACAAGGTACGCGGCTTTTGAAGAAAGCCAAAGTATGAAAATTCTGACATTGTAACACACTTCAATCACTGCAGTACCTAGGGTAGAGGAACCAACCCCCTTCAATTTTAGCTTCGTTTACAGTTGAGGAAACGGAGTCTCAGAGAAGAGAATGCTTTGCCCAAACTTAGATGGCAAGCATTTTGGCAAAAGTTGGCACCAAGTCGATTTCATCAATTCTCAGATCAGTTCTAGGTAGCCCTTGGTAGAAGTCAACGGCAGGTGGATTTGGCAGTTGATTGAGCCAGAAGTTTAACGAAAACCGTAGGCCCAAATAACCCAAGAGTTACTGTGATGATGGTGTACCCTTGCAAAGCCTGCCAGTGGATAAAACATTCTCCTATTCAGACTGCCCAGGAAATAAATAAGCATGTTCCCAGATGCTATGTCACTAGACCCTCAAACAAACCTATGATGTGGATGGAGCAGGTACTATTATCCCCATTTACATGTGGGGAAACTGGGAAATAACCTGCTCAAGGTTATTGGCTATGTCATTGGCACCAGTAGGCTTCAAAACCAGGTTACCTGTCATCACACCAAGTGCTTTCCATTGTTTTGTGAGGCCTCTGGAAGCAGTCACTTGAAGGGCATGGACACTCCACCTCAGACGCTTGCAGGAATCTAGCAGCACCCCCTACTGAGGAGGGTGTGGTTCATTCACATAATCTGGCTTGGCTCCTAGAACACTTACTTCATTTATTTGTTCACTTCTGTGACCTCCATAGGAGTAACTCAATCCCCAAACTAACACTGCTTGTGATGTGTGCATCTGGATGTGATGTTTAGCTTACTAATTCCACAAAGCTCTGGTAGCAAACCAGTGCATCCATTCTGCTGATTTTCTGCCTGTCCTTTTTGCTAGGCCAGCCTGTCTTCCGGAAAGTTCATGCTAGAGAACATCCGATCCCTTCTACTGTAATCACCATTGCAGGTACTCATTGCATCATGGTTCTTGAAAACCACAGTTGAGTTAGCTTGAAGTTAACTGCCTTCAAGTGTTCTTGAAGTCTTTAGACATGAAACAGTTTGGCCCCTGTCCCCTCTAGAACATTGCTAAAGGATACAGTGGCTTCTCTGCAGCTGGGAGTATGGTGGGTCATCAACAATAACACAAGCATATCCACACAGGACAGGATGCATAGTCAAGGGAGCAAATGGACCTGAAGAGAAGATTGACCCCATGGCCTCTCCCTCTCAAGTTTCAACATTTTCCAGATTTCTCGCAAGTCTTGCTTCTCAAAACGGGTCTTTCTTTCCAAGTATAATGAAGTTTCTTTAAAAGCAAGCTGTAGTTCTTTCCAGAGCCTGCCTTTCTTGCCTCCAGGCAATGTGATGATAGCCACATACACACTGATGATAATACATCTGTGGGGGGTTCTCTAGAGGGAACATTGCCAAGGTGACCAGAGGACCATGCAGTCATCCCAAATCTACCATAAGCATAGAGCCCAGGCATCGTCTCCAAGTCTCTGGATGAGGACAGGGATATTCATTCCTCAATTATTGCCATCACTGGCTACTGTGGTAGAAACACTTCCTCCTGCCCCAGTAGGACCTTCCTATTCCTCACATCACACTTACCCACTCAATAATCATGATACCCAGACTTGACTGGTGGTTTTATCACAGGCTTGGTTTATGTCTTGTCAATACCAATTTTATGGGGTGCCTGGGTGGCTCAGTCGAGCATCCAAATTCGGCTCAAGTCATAATCTCACAGTTTGTGGACTTGAGCCCTAAATCAGGCTGTCTGCTGTCAGCACAGAGCCTACTTTGGATCCTCTGTCTCCCCCTCTCTCTGCCTCTCTCAGCTTCACGCTCTCTCAATCTCTCTCTAAAAAATAAACTCTAAAAAAAATACTGATTTTTACAGTGAGTATGAATTACACATTTGATCTTTAAATTGTGTTGGTTGGTTAAGCCTATGATGTTATGTGATTTACTATCAACTTCTCAATTAAATATGGTGAATTTTAAAAGTAATACTTGTATATGTATGCAGAGACAGAGAATGAATTCTCTGACAAGCCAAACTAAAACTCCAGTATGTTATCACTGTGCATAAGTAAGGAGGTGAAACTGACTTGGCCAGAGTAAAATGGACTGTGTTTGATCCAGCATTCAAAATGAAAAGGAAACAAAACAAAAACAAAAACCAACCAAGTGAAAAGGAAACAAATATAATAGACCATCCAAACAAATTATGTTAAACTGTTTCCCCCAACCAATAAAAGATATCTCAAGAGAGGATTTTTTTTTTTTTTTTAAAGAGAGGACACTTTCTTTCCATCTTTCTGTCTTTCTTTCTTTCTTTCTTTCTTTCTTTAATTTTGAGAGAGACAGAGACAGTATGAGCAGCATGAGTGTGAGGGGAAGAGAGAGAGAGAGAGAATGAATGAATGAATCCCAAGCAGGCTCCCCACTGTCAGCACAGAGCCTGATACAGGGCTCAAACTCAGGAAACCGTGAGATCATGACCTGAGCCGAAACTGAGAGTTGGACGCTTAGCCGACTGAGCCATCCAGGTATCTCCAAAGAGAGGACACTTTTTTTTTTTAATTTTTTAATGCTTATTTATTTTTGAGACAGAGAGACAGAGCATGAACAGGGGAGGGGCAGAGAGAGGGAGACACAGAATCTAAAACGGGCTCCAGGCTCTGAGCTGTCAGCACAGAGCCCAACGCGGGGCTCAAACTCACAGACCGTGAGATCATGACCTGAGCCGAAGTCGGACGCTTAACCGACTGAGCCACCCAGGCACCCCAAGAGAGGACACTTTTTAAAAAAACAGACCAGTATTTGCCAGCATCAAAAATCTGTACCACAGATACTAATTTATCAATATCGTTGCAGAGCAACACCAGGATTTATCTAGTTGCTTCCTTTCCATCACATACAATTCTCTCTTAAATGTTCATGACATTTATTAAGTGCAAATAGCCCTGACCTTTCCATGACATTATGCCTTTGTGCTTGGACATCTGTCTGCCTGGAATGCCCCCTTCTATACCACCTTCTAGCCAACCTTACCACCAACTTCACCTGGCAAGCTGCTCTGCAGGTTCCAAGGCCAATTTCAAATATTTCCTCTTTTCTGAAGGCTTCCCTGACTCCCTTAGAGCAAGCTGCTTCCCCACCCTGATTTCTCAGCCTCACCTCGCTGCATTCTAAGCTCTCCCATCTCTAAACCTCACTTCTCACGTGAACAACAAACAGGATCTTTATATGCATATACAGCAAATGTCAGGAACTAGTTACAGATATAATAGCACCAAACTAAGCATTTCATCCTGATCAGAAGGATGGAAAGATGACTAAAAAGGGAATAAATAACCGTTTTTAATCACTGTAATTCAATTTTATTTGCTACCATGTCCATTTGTTCAATGCCATGTTCCAAATAATTTCATTTTGTGGAATGTGGCATTAAACAATGTGACCACATCACCTTTCTTTTGTAATTTCTCCAATTTTCTACATAAAGTGCCTGAGTCCCATTTAAAGCAACTTATCACTTATAAGTAAACTACGGAAAAGGAAGCCATAATAAATATTCTCTCTCCATGGTTTTGCAATTCAAATAATAATCCTGGCTGTTATTCTGGAAAAATAATTTTTATTTGCTGTAAGTCTCTAAGACATCCATGTTCAGCCAAGGTTTTGAACAAAGACACTAAAAGAACCTACTGCTACGAAAACTACCAGTAACATTATCCTGAGTTCAAGGATCAGAAAGCAAGGAATCAAAATACGATTGACTTGAGCACTGGGTAGACTAGACATCACATATCTCAACTAACTACTTCCTTGACTACGTATACAATTTCAAGGACAAATCTGGAGGACACCAGTTGGAACCCTTTGCCTTCTCTTGGGTCATAACTTCCCAAGCCTGCTATAAAAATCTCTACTACTTCTGCAGTTAAAATTAATCTCCTTGCCCCTCTCCTTTGTATCTCTCAACATTTAGCACTTTCTGGTCAGTCCAAAATCACTTATTTTTTAGTCTCCGTCTAATTTCCTTGAGGCCACGTAAGGATTGGGGATAGAAAAGCAGATTCTAAAATATTCTTTTAGGAAGACACTATTGAATACATACTAAAGCATTAATATGCTACATCCTGCTTTTGCCTTGGGTTGGTTTTGACACTTGGTATTTAAAATGCTAGCTAGCAGTATCCCTAGCCCATCTTCTCTGTGCCCTAGCAGTGAGCTGGCCTAGGAACTGGTTCTCTACAAAATTTGCTAGAGCATCAAATGGAACCACCACAGCAGGGCCCTCAGCAGAGGGAAAACTTGTCTTTGGAGGGAATGAGAGGTATGGACTCCTGCAGAAGCTGATGCCTAAATAAACACAAAAGGCAAGAAGACTGGGCTAGAAGTCCCTCCCTTTCTCGTGTTTCCTCAGTCAACAGATTCCTACCACAGGCAGTTTGCCTGGAAAGTTCTAGAAGCAAAGGCATCAGGGCAGAGGTCTTTCCATACCACCCATACGACTCCCTTGGAGATGAGGTACATTTGACTTGACTCAAGTAGCCTGTCTCGTTCCAGCATCCTGGGCCTGAAGGATAAGGAGGTAGAGTGATTATAGGAATGGTGTTTGCCATGTGCATGGCCTTTTTCAGTCTGAAATTTATCCTAATGACCTTCACATAGCGAGGAGCCAACTGTGAGCTTCCCCTCATTAGTGGACTCTCAAGTCCATTAACATTTTCTTAACACCCACTAGCCTCTCCTGGAGTGTAAGGAACCTGGTGGTTCTGGAAATAATCATGCTCACATGGTGAGTGGTATTAACTCCCAAAGGCTTCACCTTTGCCCCCCGTTTACTTTAAGATGAGCGTGGTCAAGGTCTTCCTAACAAATCTCAACTTTGCACCACAGAGCGGAAGCACGAGGACACAGGCATCGTTGTGAAACACGGAATGGATGGTTTGCTTCTTAACTTGCAACAGGGGCTCTGGCTAAGATCAGAATCTCCCTTCAACCAATTTTTTGGCGCTGGGGCATTTTCTGTTGCCTCTGGAGAGTGGAGAGGAGGAGGCCAGATCCCTCCATCCCTTGTGTCACTCCAGCACTTTTCATTACGGTTCCTTTGGTCACCTGTTAAAGGAATGTATAAAAACAGCCAGGTGAACCAGCATCACAGGGGACAGCTGGGTGATCCCTCAGCACAGACGGCGTGCAGGCAGAGTCTTTCCCAGTGATATGCCCATACAAGCTGCTTTCCTGATCTGCACTTTGGCTCGTGCTCAGGTTGTGGGTCATTTACAGTCACCTGCTGTTAACAGTGATGTGATGTGAAGTGATGACATGCCAGCACTTCTCCCCTCCGGCCTTATGATCTCGCCCAAGGGACTTTTAGTAGGTCATTAGGACTTCCTTCCTTCTCGGTTTTCTTGTAGCAGAACCCAGGGATTTCCAAAGAAAATTGAGCACAGGGCTAACTTTCTTGCCCTTCCCTTTCACAGAGGAATGTGATGACAAGCAGCCGCTGACCAGCAAAGAGGAAGAGGAGAGGCGCATTGCAGAAATGGGGCGCCCCATTCTGGGAGAACACACCAAGCTGGAAGTGATCATTGAAGAATCCTACGAATTCAAGGTATGCTCACTGATGCTGCCCACGGGGGAGGCCAGGCCCATCTCGGGACCCAGACTGTCCAGACTGCCATCAGTGTCAGGAACTGGCTCATTAACTGAGAATTTTTTCAGGGCAGAACTAGAATTAGAAAGGTAGGGAACCAAGAGGTCCTGCAAACTGAACAGCATCAGAACCAGGGGCCAGTGGGTGGCATCTGTCACTGCCCAGGGTCAGAGGTGCCCCAAAGGGAGGACTTTGTCTGAGGGGAGAGCAAGGAAGAAGCAAAGGTGGATTCCAAGAGATTGTGATGTGTGGAGGAAACCAAGCTCTATTTGAAGAAGCCAGTGAATCCATTAGAAGCAAACCGTTCACACTGCAGACAGTTAGGAGGCTTTTGTTCTGGAGGGGGAATGGGAAGCTCTCCCTATAAAACATCCACCCCATTGACAAGTTCTCATTTATAATTAGTCCTCCTCTTCAGATCCTAGGACATTTTAGCACAGTCAACATACTAAAGGTATATAGTGCCTGTGACCAGAGAGTTCACAACTGAGCAGATGAAATTGGATTCCTGGTCCTCTGGATGATGAAAAGTCATTTTTCAGAAGTTAAGCAGATGGGCCTTAGGGTGAGCTTAGAATTTTGAGGCGAAACTTGCTGTCCATTTTAGCTGCTCCCTCTGTCCCTACTCTACCTCCCACCCATCTCGTTCACACAGCCCTGACAGCTAAGACCCCAGGAGAGCCACACGCTAATTCTGGAGCGGGACATGAAAAGGAACCTCGTTCTCTGGTTTTCCAGAACTACAAACCCATGGTGCAGCTGCATCTTCCCCAATTATTCTTCAAAAGCAGACTCTGCTCCTATTTGGAAAACCAGAATGAGGATCCCAACAGGGACAATCAGGCCAGGACCTTAGAAGCCTCAGTATTTTATCTCGATGTTTCATAGTAGTGGCCTCTTTTCCTTTAGCTGCATCCATTGATTATTTTTTAAAATTAGTTCACAAACGGAGGTGCCTGAGAGGAGACAGGTAGAAGGGAAAATGTCTTTTTGCAATTGAAGTGAAATTTTTTAAAAAATAAAAAATGCAATTAAACGTTCCCCTTCAGGCTGCTGCAAATCTCTGTTTCTTTCACTCATTCCCATGCAAAGGAACAGGGGTAAACACTGGGACCTGTGCTTTCTGGGCAGACCCCAAGTATCGGAGCTCACCTGTTGTTTGATCTAGAACCTGCGGACTGACACACACATACACAGGTTCCCTGTGATCCCAGGGGTGCAGATACCTCAGACTGTCCATTTCCACGGACCAGTCTGTCCAGATGTAGCCAACCTCACTCTTCCTCATGCCCCCTCTTTTCACCTGGAATCAGAGTGCCTGGTGCCACCTGCTATAACGGAGATTCTACTACTTGGCATTTCTGGGCAAGTTTGCCCTCCATCCCTCCAGGGCTCTCATGGGGAATAATTGTATGGGACAGCCTGCCTTATGGGACAGGCTTTATGGGACAGCCTGTCTCTCCTTTATGGGACAGCCGGCCTTCCCCTTCCATGCACCCAAGACTAGAAAGAGCAGTCACAGAAACTTTCTGCAGGAAGCATCGGACTGGGTGTGGCAGGGCACGGTCTTCCAGGCGGCAAAGCGTTCTTGGGTCCAAAGCTCTCTCCTGTAACCACTCCAATGACCTGGACGTTTGAAAGCTCCCCAGTCTCTTTACAGAAGTCCACTTGTTCGGGGTTCTTATCTTCCTAGAATAGCTTCCATAGGCTATTTCCTCCCGTCTCCTCAAAGTTCACCAGTAGTTACTATTAAAAGGAAAGGGAGGTTGAGGGCATGTTCCTGAAGTGCCCTCGAATATCAATATGATATTATTCTTTTAAGAAATTTATTTTTCTAGGTCCATAGCTGTTTTTAAAGAACCTATTCAGAGCTCTTAGAACTATATGAGAGACTCGAATCTGGGTGGTACCTCACAATGTCCCACTCTGCGTTGGCCTGCTGGGTTCCTGTTTACTATTTTGTGACTAAGGGTTTGGCTTCTTGACACCCACTGCTGATGGTGAGGCTATGACAATAGCCTACAGGTCCAGTGCAGTGAGAGTTCAAATTCATCTTACTTAGTGTCCCCTCTTCCCGTGGATCAAGGGAGGACACGTATGCAAATTAAGCCCTCGGAGGAACCAGGCTGTCCCATAGTCCCCCAGAGTCAACATGAACCAAAGTTTACAATCTACCCTGGGTTTTTCATACACATAAATTTTAACTTTCATTTATTTTAAAACTTTGTTCTTTAGAGATGTTTCTTGAGGCAACTCTGTGTGTTTAACTATTACAGCAGTTTATCTCTTTAACTGTTTATCTCCCAGGTGATGGGATTCTCTGTCTTGGCATCAGAACAGAGGGCTCCTTTGGCAAGACCTTCCCCAAGTTTCCATTACAGTTAGGAAAAATCAAAGTCATTTCTTGTCATATCCTGCACAGAACTGTGAGTTGGCACCAGCCAAGACACTCAGTGTGCTTGATAAAATGGGGCTGAGTCCAGAGAGAAAAGACATGCCTGTCCTGTGCCTGAAGATACTGTGGCCAAGAGCAGTGACGGTTACAGCGGTTATCAGGGGTGCTAGCAGTTCTAGACACAAGTCTAGGGTGGAAAGGTCACCACCCTAAGGAAAACATCTAGCAAGGAATGATGTTGAAAATACAGAGTGGGCCAGTTGGAGGTGGGCCCTTTCATGCTTATTATCATCTCCATGTTCGGATGACTCTCGTTGAACTAACACACTTGACGTTCCGACTGAGCTTTGGCCTTCTGTACAGGCTGCTCAGATCACATTTTCTTCACTCCCAGTTGGCTGAGAACTTGCTCGCTCTCTCTCTCCCAAGCCATAGTCAGTTGACGTGCATTGCATTAAACGTGTATAGATGTTGACCCGAGACAAATAATATGTGTTTTCTGCCTCTTTGCAATTAGTGGGGATTCGAGGATGCTCTGACAGTAAGTGTGGATATGTGTGGTAGACTAGTCCACGCGATAGTCTCTCTGGGCAGGGTACCCTCATGTCCTGGGAGTGACCCTTCTCCCTGTAGTCGCTATGATTGGTGGTAGTGCTTTGGGTGTATCTGCCTGCTTGGTTCTCCTGTGAATGTTTGGCTGTTGTTGTTGTTACCTTAACTGACATTTAGAAAGTTAGAGGGTGCTCACTGTAGAAAGCCAAGTGCTTAAAAAGAAGTCTAAGAGAGAAAAAGAAGTCTAAAGAGAAAAGTAACAGAGAGGGAAATCTAGTGCAACATCAATTGCAATGTGCCCTAAACCATATGAATTAAACTTCTCTTGTCTCGCCTTTTCTTGTTTGCAACAGAAGTAGCGTTAGAGTGGCTTCTCTAACAGCCGCCAGGCTGACAAAATCAGTAGCCACAGAAAAATCCATTTATTGATGATCCTGCAGCAGAATTCTTGGGGCTCTGCTCTCTGGCTGCATTTCATTGATAAACCAAAGCACAATAATAACAGTTTTTAGTTCCATAATCTATCTGCCAATTCCAGCTATTCAGAAACGTGTAATGCTGAGCAGGCCATATACTAATTCAGTTATAGACAGGATGCCACAGTTGAAGCCAGGAAAGAAGCAAGTTCATGAAGCATTCAAGGGGAAGGGATGGGCTTCTGCAACGTCTGCTCTTCTAAACACTGAGGCCATTCTTCACTGGCCATTAGGCAGTGAAAGAGGCTCGAATTTGCTATGAAGCAATTTCTATTTCCGAATGGTTCCAGCCAAGGGCTATGCTCGTTTGCATAATCATAACAGTGTTTGATGTCAATACTGTTGTTCTGAGCCTAACATCCCCTACCCTTCGTAGAACTCTGGGGTTTCAAAATCACCAAGGTCTTAGATTTCCCAAGGCTTTAACCAACCCAACAGTTATCTTATTCTTTCCAACCCTTCTAGAGTACCGTGGACAAACTTATTAAGAAGACAAACTTAGCCCTTGTGGTTGGGACAAACAGCTGGAGAGAGCAGTTTATCGAAGCCATCACTGTCAGCGCTGGTGAGTACCTTTCTCTGCATGCTGTAAATGACAACGGCCCACACTGAGCTTGCTTTTCCTACTGGGACCACTTGGTCTATGTCAAAGCACCAACGCCCTTCCAGGGTAAAATTAAAAGAGGAATACATGTTTTGGTAGCATACCTGCACATTTCAGAGACTGCCTTGGAGTTTCTAGATGAAGCGCACGTCTTCAAACATGGCATTCTTCTCCGTCTACACTGTGTCTTTCTTTCTGGAAATAGACAAGATAAACGTAAAGGCGTTTAAGGCTTTTGTGTCTCTAATTCACAGACAGCCAATCACGAGTCTTTGTCCGGAAATTTCCCTGAAGCAGGAGAAGTGGCCAAATGAAGGTCACTAAGGAAGGGGCAAAATGCTAGGTGGGAGAAGGTGACATTAAGACACTTTATCACTACCATCTGTATCATTTTACACTCTCTTCAACCGTGTCTAACAGATCAGCGTTTGCACTGGCTCTAGAAGTGCAAAGGAAAATCCTACCAAAACGAAGTTGTTTTCAAACTCAAGGAGTCAGAGACCCGAGGGAATTAAATATAGAAAGAAAGGTCTTTTTCTTGACTTCTCAAACCTTGTCCACTGTCTGTATGATCGTATAAAGACAGAGGAAAGCCCCTCTCAAAGATGCATGAAAGCAACACCATTGTGGGATTTCCCCCCTTAATCCTTCCGTTCCATCTTGACTGGTTCTTTCTCTTTAGCACTCCCCACAGGTCCATCTTCTACTGTTGCAGCTATTGAACAAGACTAGAATGTTCTAAATAGTGATTCCCAGTGAAAAGTATGGAACCAACATCACTGGCCGTTAGGTCGTGACTGCTAACACAACCCCCTCTTTCCAATCTGCCGTAGAATAATCTGACAGATGCTCCGAAGTGGGAACAGAGGGTGGTAGGATTTTTGTGCCTCTTTGTTATTAATGCTGTTTATAATCACACTTTGGTTTCTTGCAATTGAGTAAATAAAGGAAACTTATGAACCTTAAATAATGGGAAATTGCTTGGAGAGCAGATTTGGAATTTACATGCAAATTCTCCTCGGGGGAGGGGAAAACTCCCTGTGTTAGCCCCTTGGGGCTGCCTTTACCAAGTACCAGAGACTGGGTGTCTTACAAACAAGCTCACAGTTTAAGAGGCTGAGAAGTCCAAGATCAAGGCACTGGCAGATTTGGTGTCTGGTAAGACCTTGCTTCCTGGTTCACAGACAGGAACTTCTGTCTTCTGACTTGTCCTCACATTGAGAAACAGGCAAGAGAGCTCTCTGGGATCTTTTTTATTTTTTATTGTTTTTTAAGTTTACTTATTTATTTTGAGAGAGAGAGGGAGAGAGAGAGAGATCAAGCAAGGGAGGGGCAGAGAGAGGGAGAGAGAGAGAATCCCAAGCAGCCTCTGCACCATCAGCACAGAGCCCGTTGCAGGGTTCAAACTCCTGAACCATGAGATCTTGACCTGAGCCAAAATCAGGAGTCAGACGCTTAACCAACTGAGCCACCCAGGCACCCCTGGGGTCCTTTTTATAAGGGCTTTATCCTCATGGCCTAATCACTTCCGAAAGGCGCCACCTCCTAATACCATCATATTGGGGATTAGGTTTCAACATATGAATTTGGGGGTGGGGGGCACAGTCTACAGTACTCGCTCACTATGTCTTATGTTTTCCTTTAAACCAAACATTAGTATCTGAGGCATGAGCTTTATACTCCCTCTTCACAGAGTCAAAAACTAAAAGGACAAAAATGCTTGAACAAGAAGTTGCTGATGAGACCAGTTGAAAACATTAAAAATAATGAAATTATTTTAGGGGCTTTGTTACAGCAGAATTGAAACGTTAAAAACATTAAAAGTAGCATAAACTTTAATGAACCATTCCCAATGGTTCACAGGTCTCCTTTGGCTGCAGACATATGAGCATTTATATAATGGTCACAAGCTGGACATCATTAATTCATTTTTCTACATGTCCATCGTTGTTCTTGGTGGAAGAGATAGGACAGCACAGGAAACAAATACCCCAGCCCAAGTGGAGCTTATATTCTACCCAAGGAGGCAGCAAATAAGGCAAACAAAATCAAGTGTGTGTATGACGATGAGCTTATCATGGAGAGCAACAAAGCTGTGGAGAGAGATGAGAAATACACGTGAGGCTGCACTCGACTGTGGCCAAGAAGACACCATCAATAGACACATTAGCCATGCATTTTCTTTTCGAGCAGTGGAGTGGGTTTGTGTTCGTTTATTCACACATTTTTGTAATTCACAGGGACCAGCACACACATTTAATGGCCAGTCCTTCACAGTGGCAAAAGGGCAGCTTAGAACGGTGAGAGAGATTTTGCCACACACAAGACCAAAGTTGTGATCCTGGTCAGAATAGGTATACAGCGAACCAACTATAAAGACGCTAATGCTTCCTTACTTTCAAGGGGCATATTTGGTTTGCAAACACTTTCATTTATAACGTTGAATTAAATCCTCTCAAAATCGTATGTGAGAGGTATTACTATTACCCTGATCTTCTAGAATCTGAGCCTTGGTGAGGCAATATGTCTTTGGAACAATGCTCAGAACCCCAGTCTTCCAAATGCTAGTCCAGTGGGCTCTCTACTACCTTTAAGAAAGAGAAGTTTCAAAATGAGTCAAATTGCTCCCTCTGCACCTCTGTCTGCTTGAGGGACTCTGGTTTTGTCCCCTCTCTTGGTGCCATGGTTTCAGCACTCTCATGATGGGACCGACTCCTGCCCAGATCCTTTGAACTGTTGTTAATGAATGAAATACAAAACCTCTCGAGTGTTCTTATTTGTCATGCAGCATGTTGTGTTTTAGGTTACTAAATGACTGCTTGGGAATAACACAAAATTGCTCAGACATTTGCAGGCCGCTGGGTAAATTGACCTTATTTACAATTTTGAGACAAAATATCAGAAAAGCAAACCCATATTTTTTAAGCACTAAATTATTAGAAGGGCAGTTAGAAAGCTCAATATTTGTCATTATGATTAAATTTAAGTGTCTAAAGAATGTTAATGTTCTTTGGTTGTTAAATGGACAATAAAATTTGTAAAGCGGTATTGAAAACAGACTTTCATTGGATTTTAAGATTTCATTGCAAAAGAGTTGAGAATCAGAACCGTTTGCCTTATTAAAATATTAAATTGCTGTTAAACGGCTCTACTGAGACGCTTTTTCCTATGCAATTTTCTGTGCAAAATTGAGTCTATCTATCTTGCCAAACAAATAATAATTTTGGAAATAGGATTTTACTTCTGTTTCTCACTGATTATGTTTAAATTAGTTTCGAGGTAACCCCCCGGCAGTCTTTTTGTTCTCCTGCTTTTCCTTAACTTCAGTTCCTGGGCTCAATACCTGGGCTTCCCATAACCTTACTGTTTCTGGGAACCAAGTTCTTAGAGTCTAACAGTTGAAGAGTTCAAGGATTCGTAAGACTCCAGAGATGAGGTAGGGTCTAGACAGTCTCGTCCCCGTGGTCGTCCTTCTGTCGCCTCCTGGGTGGGATACCAGGAGCAGTAGCATGAAGCAGTTAAGCGACCGTCGGGTGCTTCTAAGATGTGTCAGCAGACAGATGCTCTTCGACGAGAGGCTAGCACTCACTGCCATGTCCAGTATGAACTGTCCCCATGTCCTCCTTCTTCCCAGTGTCTCCATCCAGGCAGAATGGAGGGCCGACCTTAAGAAAATGTGTACCAGCTGGGATATAGAGGAGAAACGGTTAGGTCAAGGAAGATGGCAGACTCCATCTGGGTGAAGAGAACCAGATGCCAGTGCCCCAACTCCACAACCACCATATTGTTGTTCTTCGCAGCAGTCCTGGGCCATGGTGAGGTGAAGGAGAGTGGTTGCAAGCCTGGCTTTGGAGTCAGATGTGGATCTGTGTCCCAGATCTCCAGAAATTCTCTGGGTGATTCTGGACAGATTACCTCCCCTCTAAATCTCTGTTCCCTCAAACGTAAAGCAGAGATAACTAGTCATCACCTATGGAGTTGCTATAAGGATTAGTCAAGGCAATTCATCTTTTCATGAGGGCTGTTTCTACACTTAGATAACAGAGTCGGTTGTTTGGGAGACAAATCTTGTTGAAGAGTCTCCAACATAACCAAATTTTGTGTGAATACAGTCGATTCAGTTTAATTGCTAAAATGGCGAAGTGACTAAAAACCACTGTCCCTTTTGTAGTGAGTATCAGGCACACCACTGAATAGGTAAAAAACTGAGATTCAGAAAAGCAACAGAACTTGCTCAAGAAGCAAGGCTGGTAAATGGCAGCGCCACGGTACAGGTCACAGCGCCACAGCCCAGGATTCTCTCCAGTGTGAAGGGTTCACTCACTCGCTGTACCTGGGGACTGAGTCTGTGCCCGTGCACACACACACAGATACACGTATGGAACACACATCTGGTAGGGGATATCTGATATGCACAGACATGCACGTGTGTGCACATGCACACACAGGGACGCGCAGACGTGTGCACAGATACGCACAACGCGTACAGACACGCACGTGTATCTTACACAGCATGTATCTTTCGTCATTTGGATAATTGAGCCCAGCTTAAAATATGAAGGGTTTTTTTCCCTTTAATATTCGTTAAGTCTCCCTAAGCCTAGTTTATAGGCCCATAGGGAGGATACACCAGCCAGTTCCCCAAACAAGAAGTATGTTTGCCTACATGCATCCATAGACTTCTCCTGCCTCGTAATTTGTGACCTTCTTTAAAGAAAGTCAACACGCTGCCCTCTCTCTTATCTGGTAATTTTGGAGATCCGGCACTAGGGATTTTTCCGGAATTCTTTTACTACTTTTGACATAGAGTTTGCTTATCCGACATAGTATCTGCTGGCATCCTCATAACAAAGGAACACTCCAAGGCGGCAAAAGAAAAAAAAAATCCTTCTTGTGGTCTCGGTTCTGTATCTTATCAGCTGTAAAACCTTGACAAAGTATTTAACCTTTCTGAATTTTTGTTTCAGCAGCAATGGAATGAGAGGGTTGGACTAGGCAAGTTCTAAGAAAGACCCCATCCAGTATTGAAATATGGGAGTTCTGTCTGCAGACGGCATAGTGTTAGAGTATCCCTGACAGCATTGTGTTTCACGGCCCACCTGATTTCGGCAATGGAAACCTCTATTCTTCCCACCCACCCGGCTTGCTTAAGTTAGCTCTTCTGCACAGTAACAGTATACGGTCCACACCCATTCTCCCAAAAGGAAAGGGACGGGAAGATAGTCTTTAAAGTGTAGCCTCAAAGAATCTAAGTGAGATGATGCTTTGAAAGTGCTGAATTTTCTTCCTGCTCCTTAATGGGAAATCAGAAATGTCTGTGAAATCTGTAGGACAGACATTCAAAACTCGGCCAGGCTGGTGGATGCGGCTGGCCTGTCCACACTCACTCCACTTCACAGTAGACTACAACCAGAGACCCGACTTCAGCTACAGAAGGAGGGCATGCTCTCCCAATGCCTACCAAGCCAGTGTGGAAACTAGTTCGGGTTTGGGGGACGCTTCATCATCAACTCATCATCCATGCATGCTATGTGGAGAAATAAGTGTTCTCAATTAAATTGAATTACTTCATAGCAAAAACTGTCAACTCTGGTGCCCCAGACAGTAATTCACTTGAAAATACTGTCAACTTGACGACAGACCCACTCCATAGGCCTAAATGAAAATAATAAAAAT